AAACAAAAGCGAACTTTCTAGATTTCTTTACTATGTCTCGTTAAATTATACTTTATCAAACAATGTGAAATAAATGCAAAGTAAGTGCAGAGTTTAGTGCAGAGTTTCCTCTGGCGCTCTGAATACGGTGCAGCAGTGTAATTCACACAGTTCACCACAGGAGGGCGAAAAAACTCCATTTTAAAGAATATCGCAGCATAGGGGTGGGCTAAGAGGGCTGTTTTCAGTAAAGCCCGAATGTTTTTATTTCCATGCATTGTACACACCATCACTGAGAGAATTTAATTAATGAAATGTATATTTCTCGACTCTCGCATCATCGCGTCCGTCAACATACGCATTGTCATTCACAACCGACAAGAACCGCCCACTCAGGCTAGCGCTTCTGACTGACATGTAAAACTGGCCAACCATCGATGAGAAGCAACGCGTCTGTACTATCCAGCCAATGAAATTAAATATTTTGGAGCCAGGTGTTTGTTGATGTGTAATTTAGTAATGAATGAGTAAAATGGATGGTATCAAAGTTTTTCCAAAAAAAAAAAAAAAGGAACTAAAACACCCCCAGCCATCACTAAAACAAGATACAACAGCTTCAGTAGGTATCTGTAACTTCTAATCGTAGTATTAGATTTCATTCTTTAGATGAAAATGGCCAAACGTATGGCATGGCCAAACGTAAAGAAAATATTTCGCTAACGAAAATGGTTTCAAAACAAAGCATCACAGTGTTTATTAATTGAATTTGCTTGTAAACGATTCACTGACCGCCATACAAAATCATTTCTTACTTTTTTTCTAAATGAATCATCTGATTTGAACGAATCGATTGAATAAACCGACTATTTCTTTAAGGCAGTGGCTTGCCGCGATCTAGTGGCAAAGTACCATTTTCATTTTTTCAATGTTTCATATTTCTGTATTCCAAATTTGATATTTGATACATCAGTCTCACACGATTATTTATGCAAATTCTAAGTGCTGTGTAAAATGCATCTACAAGTGCTCCTTCAAAAATATAAGTGTAGACCCATGTGTTTTAATTATAGGCCTACTTGGCTTTTAGCGTTTCTGTTTGTATTATGTATAAAGTAAAAATAAGGTAGCCTATAAAATGTAATGTGTGCTTGGAAAATGGGTTAAGATTTTTTTTTTTTTGTTTTGTTTTATTATAGAGATTCTTTAGTCACCTCTTTTTATATATTCTCACAAAAATCATGTTGTTAAGTGAATGCTATTTATTAAAACAATAATAGAGCTGAGCTTGCTATTTTACCATGTCTGAGATGAGTCAGCAAGGAAAGAAGAGGATGTGTGACATTGTGATTTTTAATTTTAATTAGCAAGAAAGATCCAACTTGTTAAAAAAAAAAAAACAATAATAAAAACAAATATAACATTTTTATTTAAAGTTTATTCCTTGTATCGTGACACATACATGGATTTCTCTGGGCTAAGCCCCGGATATCCACTCACCCTAGAACCGCCCCTGATCGCAGATGTAAAATATATTTATAGAAAATTTGAAAGGTAATTGCCAGATGTTTTACTGCGTCACATGGCAAAACCAACAATTTATTAAATGTTACAAAATATTGTAACTCAAAGTTTTCCTCTGACTGCAGTCACAGCTGTAGAAATAAGTTGCAGCAGTGTAATTCACACAATTCACCACAGGAGGGCGACTGGCTAAGTTGTCTTGTTATAAAGTTTTAGTGCTTAACTTTTTGTGTTCAAAATGTTCAAAAGTTATATAGTGAGCGAGTACAAAAATCAGTTGTCCAAATCGTGCTTTGTCTTATCCTGAATCACTGTGGTACACCTATAATAAGTGTTTATATTCGGACTATTTTGTACTGGTTCTGGTCTTACCGCTGCGGAGGAGCACAGGACCTGCGTGACTCGTCATACGTGTTTGGTTCAATATTAAATTATACTCTAACTTAACGTTACCTTTGGCTCGTGGAGAGAATAATATTCATTTGAACTTTTTTCATTTCACTTGAACACACACCAGAGTTCTTGCAGAGTCGATTTATCTATTTCGCTGACTCAAATCTTTAAATGTTTATGTGTAAAATGACAGCAGTGTAATTCACACAGTTCACCACAGGAGGGCGCCCAGATAAAAACAAATGTTCGTCTTAACCTTAAAGGACAATCCGGCCCAAAATGAACCTTTGCTCTAATTACACATTGCTACCTAGTCAACCGTTATCTGAGTTTTGTTTTCATGATTGCCGAATGTAAATAGTTTTATCTCTAAAAACAGTTTAGCCTATAACACTAGTATATAGGGAAATAGTGTAATGACAAATAAAAATCGCTGTTATTACCACTAAAAAGGCTCAAAATAGCCCCACACCAACACGACAGCATAACAAGGGTCCCTACATTCAAACCGAAGCATTGAGAACTTTGTCAGTGTCCATACAGTTTAATAAGAAGATATTTTATACACACAGTCAACTTCACGAATACAGGAAGAAGCCATCTTTGAAAAATAGTCTCTACCAGTCGATCTACGAGCGCCGATCCAAGTGCGCTGAACCGTGCAGAATCTCATATGGTCCGTTGTTTCCAGAAGAAACACAAACCGTTTACTTATCTTCAATATGTACACGTAGCCTACTGTTCGCGCTCACCTTATCATCACCTTATTCACATCTCACCAGCGCACTTGGATCGGCGTTCGTAGATCGACTGGTAGAGACTATTTTTCCAAGATGGCTTCTTCCTGTATTCGCGAAATTTACTGTGTGTATAAAATATCTGCTTATTAAACTGTATGGACACTGACAAAGTTCTCAATGCTTCGTTTTGAATTTAGGGACCCTTATTATGCTGTCGTGTTACTGTGGGGTTATTTTGAGCCTTTTTAGGGGTAATAACAAGCGAATTTTGTTTGTCATCATTACTCTATACCCTATATACTAGCATTATACTAGTGTTATAGGCTAAACTGTTTTTAGAGATAAAACTCTTTACATTCGGCAATCATGAAAACAAATCTCAGATAAGGTCAACTACGTAACAATGTGTAATTAGACTAAAGGTTCATTTTGCGCCGGAGTTGTCCTTTAAAACCTTATTCTGGACAAAAACTAGTTTTGATTTATTTTTAAAAAATACTTCCCTTGATCTGAGCGGTACAAGACTTGGCTGCTTTTCCTAAGTTTGCCTCCTGAACACACACAATTTTTTGACTCAATTCTACAATGTTA